CCCTTTCCTGTGGGCTGGGAGCAGCGGGAGGGATGGTGACTGGGAAGCCCCTTCCTCTGGACCAGGAGCAGTGGGATGGTGGCTCAGAAGCCCCTCCCTCTGGGCCGGGAGCAGCGGGACTCAGTACCTTGGTCTGGTGGGTCTGGTGTCCTCTGCATCTTTGTAGTGTGGAACCAGGTGGCTGCCTGTCTGCAGCGGGGTGGTTCGGCATCTTCCACATGACTCGGGACCTCGGTAGAGCGTGGGGAGACCTGCCTGTCTGCGGTAGGGTGTGCACAGACCTGCCCATCTGTAGCGGGCTGATTCGGCATGTTCTGTGAGACTCAGGACCTCAGTAGGGTGTGCACAGACCTGCCTGTCTGCAGTGGGCTGATTTGGCGTCTTCCTCATTGGAGTTTTTAATCTCCTTAATATCTGTTTGAATATGTTTCATGGTTTCCATTTCTTTCTTATGCTGGGCATTCATGGCTTCCAGCATGTTTCTGAGCTCATCTATTTTTTTATCTGTTTCTGTTCTAGAGCCTCTAATCATGTCTTTCACTCTGCTCACCATCTCTGTAGTTATCTGGAAAATTGTTTTGAATTTTTCTAGAGCCTCATTCATCTGTTTTGTTACTTCCTATGCTATCAGTTCAGGGCGTCCAGGTGGTTGATCATCAAAATTTTCCACCTTGTTTCCCCCAGAATTTACCCTTGGTAGGGTGGAAGTCTGAGTTTGTGCCTTACTTAAATGTCTTCTCATTTTTGTTTTTGGTACTGTCCTTGGTTTAGTTCCTGGGTTGATACTTTGAAGTTGTTTATTGTAATTATCTTTGTTGATATATTTAGAACCCTTATGGAATGATTGCTTCTCAGAGATGTCTTCCAGATAGAGCTGATCTTTAGGTTTTGAGTCTCTAATGGCTCTGAGGCTGTCTCATTTTCATTATACCAGGAAGGACAACTGATTAGATCAATCACAATACCTTAGCACAAGTGATACAGTCCGCAACACAGTAGCATCAAGTACCTCTTAGAAAATGACAGTTTGTGGTAGTTATTATTCTATCACCTTTTAACTGTGTGAATTAAATCAAAATCAAGGCCCAACCCAACATATGTTTATAGTGAATAAACTCAGTATAGCAACTTTACCCTTCGAGATGGGGAGTTAGAAGGCTTTGGGAGGTAGGAATAGGTAAGCAGAAGGATAGGGGAAGGTTATCAGTGAGGCCAGAGGGCACAGGCAAGTGAAGGAAAGAGAAGAAAAGAAAGATAAAGAAGAAATATGAATTAGAGGCAGAACAGGAACACAAAGAGAGATGAAGAACAATGTGGGACAGCAAGGGAGTGAGGCAGAGAGAGAGAAAGAAAAGAGAAAAGAAAGAAAAATAAAAATTTTAATAGACTAGCAAATAAGAAAAAAATTAAAAATAAGAGCAAAAAAAATAGTGGTAATTTTGAAAATAACAAAAGATAAAAATGAAGGGCCTCCTTCAGGGTATGTGACAGCAGAGGCTGTCACAATAGACTATGTGGGCAGCAGTGTGCAGATAAAAGTCAATGAGTCTCAGCACTCCAGTCACAGACTCGTGGGATTCAGGCAGATTTCTGGCTGTAAGTCCCGAGTTCAGCTTCCTGTCCTCCTGCAGGATTGAACTCTGCAAGGTTCTACTGCAGGTTCCAGCTGCCCTTCCCCTGAAGATAGTCCAGGTTCCGATGGGAGGTGATGATCGCTCCAACTTACCAAGTACGGTGGTCTGGTGTGCCCTTATTGCAGAGGTTCTCTTCACTTTTCCAGTGGGCTTCAGTTTTCATCAGGCAGCCTGAGAGAGGCCCTCTCTCTGTTGTTCACTTCTGCAGCTCAGGACAATGGCCTTTATCCCCCCCTGTGCCTCTGTAGTGTGGATCCAACTATCCCATATTCAATTCCAGAACATTTGTCACTCCTCCCAGAAAATCCTGTACCCTCTCGGAGTCACTCCCCACCTACCTTGACTCCATCCTTGGTAACCACTAACCTACTTTGTGTCCATTGGCTTACCTGTTCTGTTTATTTCATATAAGTGTAATCATGTGGCCTTTGATACCTAGCTTCTTTCACTTCATGTAATGTTTTTAAGGTTCTATCCATGTTGTAGCATGTATCTGTGCTTCATTCCTTTTTTATGGTACAATAATACTCCATTTTAATGGATATACCACATTTTATAGTCTCTATCAGTTGATGGACATTTAGGTTGTTGTCACTTCTTTGGCTATCAATAGTAATGCTGCTGTGAACATTTCTGTAACAAGTTTTTGTGCAGACATGATTTAATTTCTCATGGGTATATACCTAGAAGTAGAATTGCTAGATTGTATGGTAACTCTATTTTAACATTTTGGGGATGTGCCAAGCTGTTTTTCACAGTGGATGCACCATTTTAGAGTCCCACCAGCAAGGTATGAGGTTTCTACATCCTCACTAACACTTTATGACCATTTTAGTGGGTTCATTTGTGTACTTTTATAAAATTTATTTTTGTTTAATCAAGTTATATATGAACTTCTTACCTGTAAGTGCTATTAACATTAGATAGATCAGGGGCCGGGGATTTAGCTCAGTGGTGCCGTCGCCTGCCTCGCAAGCATGAGGTCCCAAGTCCAATCCCTGGTACCAAAACAACAACAAAAAAACCAAAACATTAGATAGATCAGGCTGAAGCCCCTTTGACCTGCACCCCAGTGAATTTCTGTACCTTATGTGGAAAGAACAGTTACTTTCCTTTTGTAGGTTTTTGGCCTAGAACTTTTAGAAAGCCAGGCACCGTGGCATTTGTCTGCAGTCCCAGCTAATCATTCAAGCCAGGTATTTGAGACCTCATCTAGAGGGAAAATCACCAAGAAAGATATCCTCCATTTAGACAGTTTTCATTAATCCAGTTGTTTTCATAGAAAAATTATGAGATTTTTTCCCTTTCCAACTTCTAACTGTAAAATGTAACATCTTTTAAAAATTAAAATATTCATTATTTTAAAAATCACATTAAACAAGCAAATCAACTAAATGTCTTTAAAAGTTTATTGTCCTCTATATTATGACTTTAAATTACAGCCATTTGACTTCATGTAATGAAATAATATCAGTAAAACTATTTTTTTGTCATGTCCTTAGTGCCTGGCTCTCTGGCTATGAAAACCCTGTGGTGTCTCGAATTAATATGAGGATACAAGATCTAACAGGACTAGATGTGTCCACAGCAGAGGAACTACAGGTAGGTAATCACATTAGCCTCCAGTTACTTTTACACTTCAAGAGATGCTTCCAGTGAGATTTCCTAACACTGAATAGGCAGTCCTTGACTTGCATCCTAGTTTGGGACTGTAAAAAGTGATCTGTAAGCTGAAACCATGCAAAGCAATTTTAATAATCAATGGAAGAAATTGTGATTGTTCTGTAACCTTTAACATTTTTGTCAAAACTTGAAGAAATATCAAGAGCCAGATATGGTGATGGCTGCCTATAATCCTAGCACTCAGGAAGCTGAGGCAGGAGGATTCAGTTCAAGACCAGCCTGGGCTATATAGTGAGACCTTGTCTCAGACAAACAAAACAAACAAACCTCTGTCAAGTGTAAATGTACAAGCAAATGAAAAATACGTAACACCACCATTTATTAAGTACACTGTAATTTTTTCATTCCCCAAGTGGCCAAGATGAATGTTGGTCTTTTTAAAATAATTAAATTGTTTTAATTCTGCTGTGAACACTTGCACAAGTTTTTGTGTGAACATTTAAATTTCTTTTGGGTTTGTATAAATCTATGAGTGGATTTTCTGGCTCATATAGTAATTCTGTGTTTAACATTTGAGGAGCTCCCAAGGTGGCTGTACCATTTTATAATCCCACCAGCAATGCATGAGGGCTCCAGTTTCATCACAACCTTGCTGACACTTGTTACTGTCCAGTTCTTGCTTTTTTATTATAGCTACTCTAGTGAGATTGAAGTTCTATCTCATTATGGTTTTCATTTGCATATTCCTGATGACTAATGATGTTGCACATTTTATGTGCATATTAGTCATTTCTATATCTTATGTGAAAAATAAGTCTATTCAAATCTGTGGCCCATTTTCAAATTGAATTTTGTGTCTTTCTGTTAAGTTTTAAGTGTTCTTTATATATTCTTGATGGTAGACTCTTGTTGGATAAATGATTTCCAAATACATGCTCCCATTGTGGGAATTGTCTTTTTAACTCTCTCGATGGTATCCATTGGCACAAAACTTAATTTTTTTTTTTTTTTTGTACTGGGGATTGAACTCAGGGACCTTGGGCTTGCGAGGCAGGCACCAGAACCACTGAGCTAAATCCCTGGCCCAAAACTTGTTAATTTTGATGAAGTCTAATTCTTATATTTTTTTTTGTTGCTTATTCCTTTTAAGTGTCTGAGAAACCATTACCTAATCCAAAGACACTAAGATTTACACGTATGTTTTCACCTAAGAGTTTTACAGTTTTTATATTTGGCACAGGGGATTGTAGCATTAAGCATACTAAACTCACACTGTACTTTTGAGCTACACCCTTGGGCCCTAAAAATTTTAATTTATACTTATATTCAGGTCTTTGATCCACTTTAAGTTAATTTCTGCATATGGTTGTGAGGTTAGAGGAGTCCAATTTCGTTATTTTTATGTGACTTTCATCATTGTCTTGGCAGTAACACTTGTCAGTTGCAGCTTTAAAAAATATATTTTTTTGTACTGGGGATTGAACTCAGGACCTTGAGCTTGCAAGCCAGGTGCAGGCACCACTGAGCCAAATCCCCAGCCCTGCAGTTTAAAAATATTGAGAAATAGTGTTTTATTTCTTTTTTAAAAACTTACCAAGAATAATTTGTATTCAGGAGGCAGAGGCAGAAAGATCACAAGTTTAAAGCCAGCCTGGGCAGCCAAGCAAGACTTTGTCTCACAAAAGGATTGGTGATGTATCTTAGGGGAAGAGTTCTAGGTTGGCATGCACCAAGACCCTGTGTTCAATCTCCAGTGCCCCCCAAAACATTTTTATTTTAAATTCCAAGAGGCAGTAATTGTGAAAATAATTAGAAATCTCAGGATTTTACTTCAAGTTATAAATTAGGGAAATACATATCCCCCAAATGTTTGCTAAAGAGAAAACACATGGTAGCTATCCTTAGTTTTCCGTCCTTGTTTTCAAAATTCCCATTGATTTTAAATACTTTTTCATTTCTCTTGCAATATCTAACTATATTAGAGACCAAAATGAGACTCATAGATTTTTTTTTTAGTAATCTTGACAGTTCTTTCATTCATGCTTTCTTTCTTCCCTTCAGGTAGCAAATTATGGAGTTGGAGGACAATATGAACCTCATTTTGACTTTGCACGAGTAAGTAAAAGAAATGGAGACCACAACCAATCCCTGAAATTTAGACATTACACTGTTGAAGAAAAAGATTTCCTAACACTTGTTAAAACTAAGGTGGACTCCATTCAAGGGAAGGTTATTGTGATAGTTACAGGGATCACAGCAGTGGGGGTTTGCAGTGAGGGTGAGAGATTAAGCTTAACTCCAAATACAATAAGGAAAGGGAGGAATTTATAGCCAAGGAGCAGGGAGGCAATCAGTAAATGAAAAATTACCAAAAAAGATAAGGGATGATTCGGGCTACCCAGACCTAATAGAATTTTTTCAGTTAGGGCAGGGAGATCATATGTCACCCGGGGATAGTGGAAGATGAGGAACCTGAGTATGTATCAAGGATGGGAGGTTCTGGCTGCACTGGTTTGGCAGAACACTTGCTAAAACTGGACAATGTAGAGATGAACAAGAAGTCAAGGCCTAGTTGCAAAGAGAATTCAGAGGAACCTGAGTAGAGTTTGCTGAAGAGGAGAATTGTCAACATGTCTATTCTCTTCTTTTTAGTATATGTGCTGCTGCAGCAAGCACAGATTCTGTTCTTTTGGTATTAAAAGTTCATAGCCTATTTGAAATTTGTGGAAGTTGATACTTTGGAAGCTTTTCAGCAGTTAAAAACACCTTGATACTCAATAGTTAAGGTACTTCGGTAAGCCTGGAAGCAAGTAAAGGGTGTATCTAAAGGCAAAACTGAACAAAGAAAGAGACCTAGAGCCTAAAATTAGACAGTAAAGCTGGGGGCACGTTCCTCCAGGAACCTGGGGCTTTGTCTTATCAGCTCTGTGAGAGGACCCACCACAATGTGGCCTGCTGAACCTGAGACTCATGTATAACATCTAGTTATGCACCCCAGAAGGGTGGCATCTTTGTGAAGATGAGTCATGTGAAGGATGAGTTTAAAAATGACCAGCTTTTAGGCTGGAGCCTGAAGGAGAGTGGTTTGTTTGCATTGTGGCTGGGGTGTGTGTGGGTAGCTGCTTCTGGGAATTTAAAAGCATATGCCTGCCCTCAGGTGATCTGGGATTTGAATTTTCACTACTCTGAGAGAAGAAACAAAAGTCGTTCAGTTTGATAGTGTTCTTAATCTTACAGAAACAAACTCATCCTCCCTGGAGAGAAGCTCCTCATTCTAAGATATTTAGCTCATTCTTAGCTAAATATGGACTCAGTTTTTAAAAAATCATTAGCTGGTAATAAGACACTGTTAAGACTGAAGCAACCAACTTATTTAGACATCTCCAAGATTTTAAATACTCCAGTAATCAGACACAGAATGCAAAGTGCATAACATGTAGGGGGAAAAAAGGGATGGGGCAAAAATAACAAACTATCAAAATGATTTACCATATTTGAAAAGTAAGCCAAAGGAAGTTCTAAAAGAAAAAAAATAATTGATGGTATTTAAAATGTAATGGATAAGTTAAAAACAGTTTAGAAACAGATGAAGTGAAGTAGTGAAGCAATTACCAGACTGCATTTTGAGACAGAAGAGTAAAAAGCAGAAGAATCAGGGTTGCAGTGGTGTGCATACCTAGTTGTTCCAACAACTTAGGAGGCTAAGGCAGGAGGATCTCTTGAGACCAGGAGTTCACAGCATCCTGGACAACGTAGTAAGACACCATCTCAAAAGACAGACAAAAAAACCCCATAAAATATGTAAAGATATTGTAGTGGAGAGTAGGGTAGGGTATTAAATCAGCTCTTAAAAAGTTTGTGCTACTAGATGGGGATTCTTGATTTAAGACTAATAAGTATTGGTCTCTTTTTACTTAATATATTCAGCTATAAATGATGGTATTACTAAATCTTAATTAATTTAAGGTTTACCATAATTACTTAAAATACTTAAAATTCTAATGAATACATCACATATTTCAACAAAGTCCTTGATGTAATACCATTATTAAGGAAGGGTAGATTCGTTTGAAAGAAAACACAGTCTGTATTGTGTAATAGCCCTTTTGTGGCTCAATCCCAGAATCTTGGGTTCTTTTTATATGAAGACCTACAAAGAATAGATTTTACTGTTAAATATGTGAGGAGTTTTGATGATGTGAAAGACTATACAGTGACAACCCTGACGTTACAAAACTAAATTGTGTGGTTTTAGCTTTTTGTTTTGAAGTATTGATTCATAGGAAGTAATGAATGTGCAGGGAGGTCCCATGCACCCTTCCTGCAGCTGCCCCCGGGTCAACCCCTTATATAACTATAGTACACTGTCAAAACCAGGAATTTGGCATTGGCCACAGAGTTCATTCATATTTCATTTGTTTCTGTGTATGGCTCTGTGCTGTTTTATCACATATGTAGCTTTATGTAATTACTATCACAGTCAAGATCTATCATGTATCACAACAAGGTTCTCTTGCAGAACTCCACATACCCTGTGTCCTCCCACCCCTACTGCTGGTAACCAATATTCTCTATTTTTAATAATGTTAATTCATGAATGGAACCATACAACATGTATCCTTTTTTTTTTTTTTTCCTGATACTGGGGATTGAACTCTGGTCCTTGAGCTTGCGAAGCAGGTAGCAGAACCACTGAGCTAAATCCCCGGCCCCCAACATGTATCCTTTTGAGATTTTCTTCACCCACTATAATTGCCTTGAGGTTCACCCTCAAGTTCTTCCATGCATCAGTAGTGAGTTCTGTCTGTTGCTGAGTAGTCATCCATGGGTAATACCTCTGGGTAGTTTTTAGTTGTTATTATAAATGATGTGTATAAATTTCTGTATGAAAAAATACATTTTCATTTTTCTGGGGTAACGCCAAGAGTTTGTATCTTAATTTAGATTTAAATAGTAGATATGAAGTCTCCAGCCTGATTAAAGTATTGACTATCCAAAAGAAAGACAATCATCATAACACTAAATATTTGAGTGGGTTGTGAGTTGAAAGTAAATCTTACTGTGTATTTTTTACCCATGGAGAACAAATTTCATGAATATAGCTAAGAGGTGGCTCTTGTGTCTTATTTTTTTGGAAGCTAAAATTATAGGCATTAATTTTTAAAATAGTCTGTGTTTAGTTGATATTGGTTGATACTGTTTAGGCCAAGAATCTGTTTATTTTCCCCCCAATAATTATGTCAAAAATATCCAGTGTGAGATGAATCAACAATTAGCAAGTACTTGAGTGGGAAGTGTTTATAGTACTCAAATTACATGGGAACCTATTGGGGTTATTTTTGGCATATTCTTTTTTTCACCAGTACCAGGAATTGAACCCAGGACCTTGCACTTGCCAGGCAGCCACAATGCTACTGATGCTTAGTTGTCACTGGAGTATTTACATTACTGAATTTTATACCATTTAATTTTCTGGGGTTATTTTTTTCACAGAAAGATGAGCCAGATGCTTTCAAAGAACTGGGGACAGGAAATAGAATTGCCACGTGGCTGTTTTATGTAAGTGATGGCTAAAATTTTTAAGTTGAGATTTGATCACATGATTCATTTATTTTGATGTGTTCAGTTAAGTTTATTTAGCATAGTTCCTTAACATTGTAGTTTAAACTTTTATGACCAAGTAAAAGGTGTTAACAATTTTTTCCATTTGCAACTTTTAAAGTTTGGGAATATGGATGTTTGTTGTAGAAACTTGGGAAAACCTAAAGAGGAAAATTAAAATTACCGATAGCACCCTACTTAAAAGTAATCATTAATATTTTAGAATAATATGTATATATATACATACACATATTATTTTAGTAAACTTTTCTTCCAAATTAAATTTTTATTAAACTATATCAGAAGACGTGCTTGCTTTAGCAGCACATATACTAAAAAAGTATATCAGAAGAGTGATGCAGCTGGTATTCAGCACCCAAATCAAGAAATAGTACATTTGAATACCTTAGAAGCCCCTCCAACAGTGACTACTCTTACAGTGTTTAAAGTTTCAACAGTATGATCTTATTTTTTAAAAAAATTAATATATTGAAATTCAATCCCCAGTACCAAAAAAAATTAATATATTGATACATGTCAACAATCTAGTTTCTGTGTTTGTGGTGCTGGGAATCAAACAAAGGGCATCACTGGTGCACATACTTCACCACTGAGATCTGTTTCCAACCTAAAAATTGTCACAATCATAAAATTTGTTCCAGTTTCCCATTGTTTGCACAACAAATCATCCCAAAACTGAATGGTTTGAAATAATGGTCCTTTTAGTATCATCTCTCATCTCTCATGGTTGTGAGGTTGACTAGGCTCACCTCATGGTTCCTGGTCTCATGCATTTGGTCTGGCACTGTAGTGATCTTGAAGGCTGAGGCTGGCTGTTGGCCAGCCTACCAACAGTTTTGGCCAATCCATGAAGCCTGGGCTTCCTCACAGCATCATATTGCTGTATTGCAAGAGCAAACATCTCAAAGGAGCAATTCAAAAGTCAAGGCATTTTATGACTTACCCTCTGAAGTCATATAGTGTAATTCCTGGTGTATTCTATTAATTGAAGCATTTGCAAAGGTCTGCCTCACTTCAAGGTGATGGAACATAGACCTACTACCACTTGAGGTGCATGTGAAGAAAGCATGCAGTGCTGAAGGTGTAGCTCAGTGGTAGACAGCTTGTGTGCTTACCATGCACAAGGGCCTGGATTCAGTCCCCAGCACTGCCCCCAAGCATGAAGGGTGAGACAGATCAGGATGTATTGTAACCTTTAATTTAGAAAGATGTATTTTATATCTAGACTTAATTGTACTCATTTCATCCTTTCTCAGTCTTACCATTTGAATTTTATGAAACTGTATCTCCTTTTGCCATCTGTAGTATCTCACTCCCCACCTCTCTTTCTGCTCTATCTATATCCTTCCTCTCTCCCTGCCTCCTTTCCTATCACCATCTACCTTCTCACCGTCTTTCCTTCCTTCTCTCTTTCTCCTTTCTTCCCTATTTCCACCCCCCTCACAACTCCATTTTGTTTCCAAAAAGATGTAAGGTACATAACTAAAATAAAAATAAGAGATAAATATCACAAAGGGAAAAACCAGGAGAGAAGCTGGTAGGTTCTGCTATGAAGGATTGTATACTTCCTAGAAGTGAGTTCTCCACAGAGCTGTAGCAGTCATCTTGCTCTATACATCTTTCACTTGTCAAATTGGCAGTTACTGTTCTAATTTGTATCTCTTGTATCTTAATTTGTATCTCTTGTTAAATTGAGCATCTTTTCCTATGTTTAAGAACCACTAATGTTTCTTTTGTTCTTGGGTTTGTTTCTTCACATATTACTTTGCTTTATGAACACTGATGTTATATTATTTGGTCTACTATCCATATATTGGATTATTTTCTTTTTAATGTATATACCCTTCCTGTTTTCCTAAAATAGTTACATAGCATTTTAACTAGTTTTGTATTAATTTTTTTCATTACTTTATACTATTCCTACTGGGCCACATACTTTCATGTACAACTTTTACATCTCACCAGGGTTAATTTTCTCATTGCTTAAGAGCTGTTAGCCACTCATTATATATTTATTACTATAAAATATCCTTCATTTAATACTTTTTACCTTGATTTAAACTGTTTGATATGAATACTTTGTGTTCTTTGGGACAGCATTTGGCTAACAGATCTTATCTTTCCATTGTTTTTAAGTCACTTTAGAGGCAGCTCTGCTAACAGTGGGTTTTGTGATACAATCAGAATCTGTCTATGCGTTCTGCTTGTGTTGCTTTTTTGGGGGGTAACGGGCATTGAACTCAGGACCTTGTGCTTGCGAGGCAGGCACAGTGCCACTGTGCTAAATCCCCAGCCCTGCTAGTGTTGCTTTTAAGCCATCTTCACCATCTGCTTCCTTTGCCTTATTTTGGTGAACATGTGTTTTTAGTTAGTGTAGAGGGTTTGTGTTTTTATTCTAAATTACCTCTATGACTATTTAATCCTTTAATCTTCTAATTTTATTTATTTCGGTACCAGCGATTGAACTCAGGACCTTACTTTTTTTTTTGGTACCGGGGATTGAATCAGGACCTTACTCTTGCGAGGCAGGCACACACAGTGCCAGTGAGCTAAATCCCCAGCCCATAATCTTGTTTGTTTTTTGAGACAGGGTCTCCCTATGTAGTTCAGGCTGGCCTCAAACTCACCGTGTAGCCTGGGCTGGCCTTGAACTCATGGTGATCCTCATGCCTCAGCCTCCCAAGTGCTGGGATTTCAGGCATGCAACACACACCCAGCTCTATAATCTTCTAATTTTAATACAGGTTGATTTTGTGGCATGAGAAATGATAAAGCTAATTTTAGTTTATTTTTGTTTCTATTTTAAGTTTTGTTTACAGAAATATGTACTGAGCACTTCATATTCTTGAAATACTTTTCTAGATGCTGAAGATCAGCAATGAACAAAACATGAAAATTTTTGTCAAAATTTATGGAGATTACCTTCTAGTTTAGTAAAATACATATTTATATCTCTGCATTCCTTGATATATTGATTTTAAGTCATTTCTTTTTCTCTCCCTTTTTTGTTAATCATTACTTTTTGGAGTTTTTTTGTTTTTGTTTTTTTTTGCAGTACTGGGGATCAAACTCAGGACCTTGCACACTTGTGAGGCAGGCGGCAGCACCACTGAGCTAAATCCCCGGCCCTGCAATTTTTAAATTTATGCATATAAGCTGAAAAGCATTTTATTTTTTAAAAACTGAATAGCACGCAGAACCTAGCTGTGCAAGCAGAAGTCTGTGTGTTTCCAGGATTTCAGTATCAAATCCTGTGTGCAGTGGTGTGCTTTATCAACATCTTTGGGAATAATGCCTGCTCTCTTGCAGATGAGCGATGTGTCTGCAGGAGGAGCCACCGTTTTTCCTGAAGTAGGAGCTAGTGTTTGGCCCAAAAAAGTAAGTGTGGTTTGTTAGGGAGGTTTTGTTTTATTTTTTGTCTATTTTTCCCCTCTGAGGAAGAGATATACCCGTATTTCATGGTCTAATTGATGAATTATGAACATTTTTAAAGGTACTTAAGGACTACCTTATCTCTGATTATCTCTAGGTAAAGTTTTGGGTTTTATGGTACATGAATATCTAGTGTAAGGAACAACCACAGATTAGTATTTTAAAGTTTTCATTTGTATATTGGTTTTTATATGATTTTTTGTCCCATCCATTCTGCTATTGCTAGGTTTGCTATCTTTGTTTTGGCAAACATTTTTGGCAAGCAGCTTTGTGTTATTAACTTTTTTCTATGATCAAGTTTTTAAAGTGATAACTCACTTTCAGAATTAAATTAGAGGAAGATATATTGCTACTGTGGAGGGAACAGAGCATTTATGTACTGTAGAAAATGATAATGTGACATTTATTTGTGCTAATTTGGAATTGTTCTCCACAGGGAACTGCTGTTTTCTGGTATAATCTGTTTGCCAGTGGAGAAGGAGACTATAGTACACGGCATGCAGCCTGTCCAGTACTAGTTGGAAACAAATGGGGTAACTATTTCCTGTATTCCATAAAAAGAATTTGTGATTTTTGTCTTTTTTTTTTCCCGGTGGTCCTAGGGGTTGAATCCAGGGCCTTTTACACCAAATCATAGCCCCAATGCTCTTATTTTATCATTTTGAGACAGGGTTTCTAAGTTGCCTGGGCTGGGCTTCAACTTTTGATCTCCTGCCTCATTCTCCCTACAGTGTGCTGAGATTATAAGTGTGCACCACCACACCTGGCTGATTTTTGTTTCATTTTGAAACTAATCTATACCTTTGAACAACCTCTCTCCCATAACTTTACCTAATATGACATTAACATTGGATGGGATTCCAACTAAAAGTTCCTGATCTTAGCATGAATTTGCATTGTTCAGATCAGAATTTTGATGACAGATTTTTCTTTTTTTTTTTTTTGAGACAGGGTTTCACTTTATAGTTCAGACTCGTCTTGAACTCATTATGTAGTCCAGGCTAGTCTCAAACTCGTGGTGATCCTCCTGCCTCTGCCTCCTAAGTGCTGGGACCTCAAGCATGCATGCGCCACCACGCCCAGCTTGTTGACAGATTTTTAAAACTCCATTTCCATTTATCATTCCAAGAAAGATTGACTCAAAGTTAAATAAGACAATATCTTCCCCTCAAGAGATTCACAATCCGAGGCTATATACTAACAGATAAATCAGAATAAAGTGGGGAGCCTTCCTCAAAGCTTAACTTTTACATTTGGTTCTCAAGATAAGTCAACAGATTTGCAGGCACATTAGGGGCCAAGATTATTGTCAGGCTAGAGTAGCACCTAGGGTGCAGAACTTGAAGGGTAGGGCACCTTGCACAGCCACTTGCACAGTGAAAAAGAAAATATATCCATTTCGGTGTGTCACTTTCCACATGTGTCTACCATTACTGTTTGAGAGAGGAGTGAGGCTCATTCACCAGAGTTTAAAGATCTCCCCCAAGGATAAGGTCTGTGAGCCAATAGACTACAATGAGGGGAGGTTGGGTGAGGACATCAGGTTTTCAAAGCTCTTTGTGTTATCTAAGTGGGCAATGATGAAAGGCTTTGCTGCAGCAGCAGTGAAAGGTTGGGGAACAAACAGATTTGAGAGACAAGTAAGGACACTGATGGGGTTGGATTAGTAAAGACTGGATACAAGGGCTGGTGAAGATAGAAGAGCGATTAAGAATTAAGATTACCAGGGTCGGGGATTTAGCTCAGTGGTTTTCCACCTGCTGCGCAAGCACAAGGACCCGAGTTCGATCCCCGGTACCAAAAAAAAAAAAGAATTAAGATACCACGCCAGGGATTTAGTTCAGTGGTGCTGTGCCTGCCTGGCAAGTGCAAGGTCCTGAGTTTGATCCCCAGTACCAAAAAAAAAAAAAAAAGAATTAAGGTAACTACTTGACTTAGTACATGCCAATGCCAGTGATTGGGTTCTTTTATACCAGAGATGAAGAAGTAGAAAATTAATTTTTGGGGGGGTGCAATTTTAAAAGTGTCTTGGGACCAAGGAATCCTAATGGGTCCATAACACCAGGGATTGGTCAGAGTGTTGCTCCTGTAGACTGGAGCATTGATCTTTAATGTGTCTTTGTATTTTGAGGGTTGTACTTTGACAGTAGGTAAAAAACATTCTGCACGGGCCGGAGATATAGCTCAGCGGTACCGCGCCTGCCTCACAAGTGGAAGGTCCTGAGTTCAATCCCTGATACCAAAAAAAAGTGTTCTGCTTGATCTGTATCTTCTTTTTTTTTTGGTACTGGGGATCGAACTCAGGACCTTGCACTTGTGAGGCAGGCGTGGTGCCGCTGAGCTACATCCCCAGCCCCTGTATCTGTATCTTAATTCCACTTGTGTCTCATTCCAAGCCTCACATTGAACATTAGAAACTTTAGGAAATGCATAGACTCAAATATACCTACACATGTGTATACACACCTACATATATAAATATGTACTTTAAGATATGTGTAACATTTTCTGTTTCCAGTGTTTAATTGGCATCTACCTTTATATGGTTTTGGTCTTGAACTTACAATTCATGTTAACTTTTTCATAGACCAGGTTTTAGAAGGGAAGAAAAATAATATATAATTATTATATTTTTCTCTCTCACAGTGTCCAATAAATGGCTCCATGAACGTGGACAAGAATTTCGAAGACCTTGTACTTTGTCGGAATTGGAATGACAAACTGGCTTCCTTGCCCCTCCTGTTGTTGTACTCTAATGTGTCTCATACACACAATTCCTAGTCTTAACTTTCAAGGTTTACAGTTGACTAACACTCCATGATTAAGTCAATCATGAACCTCATCCCATGTTTCATCTGTGGACAATCACTTACTTTGGGTTTTCTCTTTTACAAGTAACACTAAATCACTACATTTGATTAATAGCTTAGTTGGTGTAACAGAAGGCAGAGTTAAAATGAGGAATCTTAAATTTTATATTTTAAATAACTTTTTGGTTGGATAAATATAATTAAGCATCTGTTTTAGTATTTCAGGACATCTCAACTGATGCACGGCAGGCTGGAGTGGGCTGTGTGTAGAAAGCAGATGCTTCCTAGCTAGGTGTCCTTTTGGCCTTGTCTTCCTTGCAGCTCATTTTCTGGACCTGCCTGAACCCCAGTAATAAACTAGGAATCAGATCTGGGCTGTAGGTGATGTTTGCCCCTCTGTACATTATTCTGAGTTGAGTTTTCCCCCTATGTCCTCCTAAGGAAAATACACTGTATTTTGCCAATCCTCTTCTCTCATAGCTACTCTGTGGTGAATTAATCCTGTTTGAGTTAAAATACTTTAATTTTTAAAAAACAAAGTCCTGTGTAACAACAGTAGGCCTTCTTCACATGCTCATTAGTCTGTTCTTCCACCTTTCTCTTGAGTGACTGATGATTTTTTCCAGAAATTTTGTTTTTCTTAGTGTCAGTAGTTTGCCTCTTACTCCTACTACAGCAAGGTGGTTGATACTGGCATTCTGATTAAATATTGTGCCTTAGGAGACTGGAAAGTTTAAAAATGTACAGGTCCTTTCAATGATGAGGGAATTGATTTTTAAAAGAAAATCTTTTTCTTAAAAAGCCAAAATGTTTGTTTTTTAAAAAATTCTGAAATGTGTTGTGACAACAACGATGTATTTATGATCTTAAATCTTTTTTTAAAAATGTTTCTGTTTTCTGTGTGGTATTTTTCATATTTAAATGTGAATATAGGGCCAGGGATTTAGCTCAGTGGTTCTGGCGCTTGCCTCGCAAGTGCAAGGTCCCAAGTTTGATCCCTGGTACCAAAAAAAGGTAACCTGAATATATAATAGAGCAATAGCAGGTTAATTCTAATTTATGTTACTTCCTTAGTACACAGAACCTACGTTTACACTCTTGGTTTTCACGCACAGTGATACCACATTGTTATGGAAGAAAAATATAAATATGAAACTTCAGAGAGCCTAATCAATCAAGACATGCTTTGTTTAGGCTGAGTTGTAACTCAGTGGAGAGCTTGACTGGTATGGGCCCTGTGTTTGATCCCCAGCAGCACATACCCCAAAAAAGTGTTTTCTTTCAAGAGAGCTCTGCCATGACAATGGAGTATATTAATGGGACTCACGGCTTTCTCCTACTGAAAAATAGGTATAGTAGTAACAAAGATGTTAATTTAAGCATGTTAACTGATCATAGGTCATGCTATACTTGGGTAAAAATAATACTGAGTTCCTCTCAACTACCCTTTCTTTGTTCCACCATAAATATTTTAGCACAGTATTGAGAATTACGTTCATCACTATCATCACAGCACCCAGATTGTGCAACAATAGATGATTTAAGAAAAAAAAATGTTAAGCTATGGGTGTAATTCTGTGGTAGAGCACACATATTTACCATGTATGAGGCCCTGGGTTTAATCCTTGATGCACAGGTACTGTGTTCTAGTTAAGATGGAAAGAATAGATTCAAAAGTATAGAAATGAACCAAGTTCAAAGAATGTAAAATAAAGATTATTGTCATTATGTTTTTAGCAAATACAAAAAATACCTATTTCAGGGCCGGGATTTAGCTCAGCAGTGCCGCTGCCTGCTGCGAAAGCACAAGGTCCCGAGTTCAATCCCCAGTACCAAAAACAAACAAAAACAGAAGGAAATTATATATTCCCTAATCTTACAAATTTCCATTGTATTCAACTCAGAATGTCATGTGGAGTGGTGAACTCTTCAGGATTAGATCTTATAGAACCCTTCAAAATTTCATAATTACTGGTGATTTTTCTTTCCAAATTGGGGGTGGGAGGTTCCAGTATGAAGCAATGGGTCCAGTTGTCACAGTTTTCTTTCTTTATGTTGACCTTTCAAATACATGAGCACTGGAACTGTCCTAGAAAATGTGTTTCCTCACCAACTCAGCCTGTCCTTCAAGACTACAAGTTTTGTTGTGCACTAACTTACTGCCAATAAGTATACACCAGAACATCTTCAACAGCAGGGTGAGTTAGTGTGGTAACTAGTAAGATTTTATATAAAAAGAATGAAATGATTTTAGGATTCTTTGGGTTAATGATAAATTCAGTGATGAAAATAACAGTCATCTACTTCAGTAAAAATAAAGTAGTTGTTATTTGTGAGAGGGTTGAGGAGAGCTGTAAGCAGTAAAATAATGTTTAATATACAAACTACCACGTATGTATGTGTATACAAATGAAAGACTAAATGTCCTCACGGCCCTATGTTGCCTGCTGTACGTGAAGTCCACACAAATATCTACGAAGACCTTATGTTCAAAATGAGCAGTTTACGTGCAGCACACCATGGCTAAGCAGCCAAGTGAGGCGAAACTTACAGGGTAACACCAAAACACATATTCATGATTAAGTATAAATTATTTGATCAGGAATAAAAATTGCTAGGAAAAAGAATAGAAAAATGACATTTTAATCTGAATAGCCAGCAATACACAAGAACCAATCCCTTGGCAGCACCTATTTTCTAGATGGTAAAAGTAGGTATTTTTAGAAGGAATAATATAGAAAGGAATGAATTATCAATACTAGAGTTTCATAAATTACCAGATTTATCAGAATAAGATAGATTTCATATTCCTGTTCTAATGTCCTTCAGTATTTTTCCCACCACCCTTGATGTTTTGCAAAATTATATTAAACTAGTAAAGTTCTTGGCTGCTTGGTTTTGTAACTTTTGAGAACTTTAAAGTTTATTTTCTGTATAAATGTAGCCTTCAGCAAAGCATAAATTTGACACCAAAAGACTAAGACTGGTTTATTGTTAATTTTTTTTTACAACTTAGCAAATGTACAGCCAGGGATTTAGCTCAGTGGTGCCACCTCCTGCCTTGGAAGCATAAGGTCCGGACTTCCGTCCCCCGTACAAAAACATAAACAACAAAACAACCCAAAAATGTACAAACGGATGTTAGGTTAAAAAACAAAACAAAACAAGTGGAAGCTACTTTCCCACAGCCCTAAATCTCTCTCCCATCTTCTGCTATTTGGGGCCTGGCTAAATTACCTTTGCAGCACTATTCTGTTGAAATTAATTGTACAAAACAAGATAATTACAGATTTGATAAATTCTAAACCCTGTAAAAGGAAAATCCTCAGATCTTATCATTTGGTCTTTCATTTCAAAATAGCCTTATTTCTTATGTAAACTTGTTTTAGGCTAAGCACTGTAAGAATTCAGACTAAAGTAGAACATTTTAAATACAGAGTCAGGTGCCCTTAGCCTTTCAGCACTTTTTAGGGAGAAGGATTACATCAAGGCAACCTTTTCTTAGGCATTCAATTAATGTCCACAAAGAATCAGAATTATTACAATACTTAAAGTACCAAGGGTAGTTAAGTTTTGTTATAATGTAGGTTTTTTAATTTGGATAAACATTTAAATTACATAAAATACATAATGGCTCACTAAAAACTAACCATCCTTTGATATTTGTATAATTGTTAAATCTTAAGACATGAAATAATTTACATAAGTTTATGTTCTATTTTTACTTCTAAAAGGCAAAAAGTTGAGGTTCTGTGACATGAAGCATTTTAGATTTTATGAGACAGAAGTCTTTACTAAAAATAGTGCTGGGCCGGGGATTTAGCTCAGTGGTTCCACCACCTGCTTTGCAAACTCAAGGTCCTGAGTTCCATCCCCAGTACCAAAAAAGAAAAAAAATATAGTGCTATCTTAAAGAATAATGGAGTATTAACCTGTTTATTCCAATATATTGGACAACCTATATGAAATGAACAAATTTCTTGGACAAATTACTAAATCTCTTCAAGAAGAAATAGTCTAACTAGCCCCATTATCAAGTCAAGAAATGGAATGATTAGAAATATTACTACAGAGTTGAAGCCTAGATGGTTTCACTGGTGAACTCTATCAAATTTGTAAAGAATACCAGTCCTGTACAAACTGCTTCAGCAAAGAGAGGATGGAAAGTTTCCCACTCATTTTAAAACAAACATTACCCTGGTGCCAAAACTCTTCAAAGGAAGAAAATACCAATCAGTATCATAAACATAGATATAAAATACCTTAACAAAATATTAGCAAATCCAATCAGAATAAACAAACGGCCAGGTTTGGATTAGCTAAAAAATAGGAGACTACTTTAACATTCAAACTTCAATGTATAGATGGGCACAGTGGTGCATATCTGTAATCCCAGCTACTTAGGAGGCTAAGGCCAGAGGATTGCAGCCTGAACAACTCAGCAAGACCCTGTCTCAAAATGAAAAACGAGTAGGATGCGTAGCTGAGTGTTAGCATGCCCCTAGGTTCAATCTTGAGTACTCAAAACAAAGTATATAATTTACGATAGTAGCAGGATAAAAGATAAAAAGTACATGATCACTTCAATAGATGCAGAGAAAGCATTTGACAAAATTCAATACCATTAATGATTTTTAAAAAGCAAGAAATTAATTTCCTCAACTTGATAAAGGGCTCTTCCAAAAACCTTGCTGCCTTCATACTTAAAAGGTAAAAGACTGAATACTTATTCCCTGTGTTTGGAACAAGGCAACAGTGTCTGCTTTCTTCTACTGCTATTTTATTTTTTATTTTTTAGTACTAGGGATCAAACTCGGGTCCTTGCGCTTGCACAGCAGGTGGCGAAACCACTGAGCTAAATCCCCGGTTCTTCGACTGCTATTTAACACTACTGGAGATCCTACTCAATGCAGTAACATAAGGAAAAGAAATAAAAGGCACACACATTGGAAAGGAAGAAGTAATGCCTTCATAGATGACACAACTGAGTTTGTAAATAATCTTACAGAATCTATAATAAAGCCTTTAAAAAATAACAGGTTAAGAGGAGTGAGGATACAAAGTCCATATACAAAAACGGATTAGAAATAATTCTGAAAAACAATGTGTGATGAGGTGTAGCTCAGTGGTAGGGTGGTAGCCTGCATGTGGCCCTGGGTTCAAGCCCCAGCAACACAATGCAAACATAAAAACACAATGTGTGTAATAACCTCTAAAATCTTACACTTGGAATTAAAATAGGTGCAAGAGCTATATATTGAAAAAAATAAGATACTGACATCATTAGACAAGCTCTAAAAGGGGATTTATATCATGTTCAAGGAACATGTTTTGATATTTTCCCCAAATTAATATGTAGATTCAATGGAATCCCAATCACAGTTCAAGCAAGTTTTCTTTTTAATTGACAAGTTCATTCAAAAATTTATATGGATATATAAAAGGTCTACAGTAAATAATAATTTCAGATAGGAGGAATAAAGCTGGGAGATTTACATGACCTACTTTAAAGATTTTATAAAGCAACAGTAGTTATGATCATGTGTCTTTGTAAGAATGGACACAAATCAATGGAACACAATAGAAAGCCAAGAAATGAACAAACATATGGTCAATTGATTCTCCACAAAGGGGCTGAGGTAATTTTCAGCAGAAAATGGACACTCTTCAACAAACACTACAGGAACAATTGGCTATCTCTAGCACCTACCACCTATCTACCTTGGTATATCATGCTATGTTAAAAAAAAAACAATCTTGAAGTGGATCATAAACCTATGACAAGAAAAACAATAAAAATTATGAAAAAACAATTTTTGAGTCTAGCGTAGGCAACAAGTTCTTAGGACATAAAGAACATTAACCACAAGCTGGACATGGTGGTGCA